GGGTCAGGGGTGCTGCCGAACAGGTTCGTGTGCACCCGGCACGGGCCCGCAGAGCCCAACCAGCCAGCGCCGTGCACCACCTAGGGGTTTTTAGGGTTTAGGGTTTTGGTTTTTTTTTGGATAACTGTCTTGGGCTAAACTTTTCAGCAGGTCAGCCATCCCAATACTTCACACACCCAAGCACTTTGGTGCCTCTCAGGCACATTCTTCGGAGATAGATGCTACTAGTGCCTCTCGACATGGTGGCAGGGGTGTGTTTTGGCACGTTCTTCGAAGCTGGGGGCATCTTGGCATGGTGAGATGGATGCCACATATGTCTCGACATGATGGCAGGGGTGCCTCTTGGCACATTCTTTGGAGCATGGGGCATCTTGGCATAGTGGCGCAGTGCCTTTCAGCACATGCACAGCAAATGTCTCGTAACACATGCACATGTACCCCGGACTTCTCAGGAGGTCACCCATCCGGGACTGACCCCACCAAAGCAGGCTTAACTCTGAAGTTCTAATAGGATATGGTGGCAACTCTCTCACTTACGAGGGTTAAAGGGTTTAGGGTTTAGGGTTTTTTATTTTTAAGCTGAAGAAAATTCTCACGATTCCACTTAGCGAGAGAGAGAGAGAGAGAGAGCTGGTCCTTCAATTCTCTGTGGTGGTTGGGGTTTACTTCTTGGCGTAGGAGATGGCCATGGGATTGTGGGGGTGATCTTGAAGCCCTGGAGAGACTGCATGGCGATGGAGGACTGGACGTCATCCTCAAATTCAACAAAGGTGATACTGGGCTTGGCGTTGATCATCCGGACCTCCCTAAAGCTGGGGTACTGCTGGAAGAGGATCTGGAGCATCATGCTTGTTGTCTCATGAGGCAGGTTCTGGATGAAGAGGATGTTGTTCAGGGTGGTGACGGCATCTTCAGGTTCAGGCTTCCTTGGAATGCTTGAGAAGCCCCATTAATCTCAGCATGAGGACCGCCGTCGGCAGCTCAGATTGCTGCACTTCTTTGGCATTCCGCTTCTTTTCAGCTTTTCTTCTTGCTTCTTCCTTTTCTCCTGTGGATTATTTGTGCCTTCCTCCCTAGCAATGCAATCTGACTTCATCTTGGTATACTGTATCCTCATTAGTTTGTCATAAAAGGAAAGTTCTGCATCTGGCGAACTGCAGTACTCGCAGCAGTAAGTTCACTGAATACAACCCATGCTTGACCTCGGAGTTTCTCTATTTTCAGGGCAACAACATCTAAAATCCTTCCATACTGCAAGAATAGCCCATAAAGGGATCTTTTGCAAGAACAGTCTAGGGTTTAGGGTTTATGGCTTTGGGCTTAGGGTTTAGGGTTCAGGGCTTTTTTTTTGGATAACTGTCTTGGGCCAAACTTCTCAGGAGGTCACCCATCCCGTACTTCACACGTCCAAGCACTTTGGTGCCTCTCAGGCACATTCTTTGGAGATAGATGCCATTTGCACTTCTCGACATCGTGGCTGGGGGCGTCTTTGGTGCCTCTCAGCGCAGCACGATTATGCAGCGATGCCTTTCAGCACATGCACAGCAAGCATCTCTGCAACGCATGCACACATACCCAGGGACTTCTCAGGAGGTCACCCATCCAGGGACTGCTCCCACCCGAGCACGTTTAACTTCGGAGTTCTTATGGGATCCGGTGGCAACTCTCCCACAAAGGAGGGTTGGGTTTTAGGGTTTAGGGTTTAGGTTTTTATTTTTATTTTTATTGATAACTGTCTTGGGCTGAACTTCTCAGGAGGTCACCCATTCTGATACTTCACACGCCCAAGCACTTTGGTGCCTCTCAGGCACATTCTTTGGAGATAGATGCCACTTGCGCCTCGACATCGTGGCAGGGGTGCCTCTCGGCACATTCTTTGGAGCTGGGGCATCTTGGCATGGTGAGATGGATGCCACATATATGCCTCTCAGCACGTTCTTCGCTGGGGTGTCTTGGCATAGTGAGATGGATGCCACATATACCTTTTGGCATGGTGGCAAGGGTGCCTCTCGGCACGTTCTTCGATGCTCAAGGTATCTTGGCATGGTGATGGAGGGTTCATAACACGTGCTGGGCAGCACAATCATGCAGCGGTGCCTTGCAGCACATGCACACCAAGTGTCTCGCAACGCATGCACACATACCTGGGGACTTCCCAAGGAGGTCACCCATCCAAGGATGGCTCCCACCCGAGTACGCTTAACTCCGGAGTTCTTATGGGATCTGGTGGCAACTCTCCCACTAAAGGGTTTAGGGTTTAGGGTTTTTTTATATTTGTCTTGGGCTAAACTTCTCAGGGCGTCACCCATCGTGATACTTCACACGCCCAAGCACTTTGGTGCCTCTCGGCACATTCTTTTAGAGATAGATGCCACTTGCCTCTCGACATGCAGGGGTGCCTCTCGGCACATTCTTTGGAGCTGGGGCATCTTGGCATGGTGAGATGGATGCCACATATATGCCTCTCGGCGTGGTGGCAGGGTGCCTCTCGCTTAGGGCGTCTTGGCATAGTGAGATGGATGCCACATATGTCTCGGCATGGTGGCAGGATGGCCTCTCAGCACATTCTTGAGTTGGGAGCATCTTGGCATGGTGACGAAGGGGTTCATAACACGTGCTGGGCAGCACGATCATGCAGCGGTGCCTTTCAGCACATGCACAGTAAGCGTCTTGCAACGCATGCACACGGCGCATGCACACGCACTGGGGACTTCCCAGGAGGTCACCCATCAAGGATTGCTCCCACCCGAGCACGCTTAACTCCGGAGTTTTTATGGGATCCGGTGGCAACTCTCCCACTAAGGGGGTTTTTAGGGTTTAGGGTTTAGAATTTAGGGTTAAGGGTTTTTTTTTTGGATGAAGAAATTTGATTGAGTGATAAAAGTTTGACTTCATTCTGAGGTTACATAAGTGGGATCTCATTCGCACAAAGGGCGAGGATGACATGGAGGGTGAAAGACCTCTTTTTTAGAGGGATGTGATAATACTAGAGATAGACTCAGTTAAGCTCATCATATTTGAAGAAACTGGTTGATCTGCATTTGGGCTGAAAGAGCCTTTGAGTTCATGAAGTTGGAATATCGGTTGATAGTAGTAGGGCGTGTAAACCTCCATGTTGTGCACCATGAGGAGGTGTTCTTGCAAGACAAGATTTTTTGCAGTAAGTGGTTCTAAGAAAGAAATAAAATGATATAAAGTGGTGAGAAAAGAGTTGTTATGACAGAAAGGCAACTTTTACATAACCGCATTTGCTGAACTTTTTCTCTCTCCTCGCGAGCTTCTCTCTCCTCATGATCAGTGCAAATGGTGAGATCTCCTTCGTGTGACCTCAAATCGTGCTGAAACCTTTTCCATTTGATTCGAAGGCCGACAACTATCGGTTTCGAGCTATTATGCATCAAAACGCTGGATTAAAGCCTTTGTTTCGCAATTTCCTCATCGCGAAGGTAAACTTCCGAGTTTTCACTCTAAAGGTAATATCTTTCTATTGACTCGGTGAAATTTCATTATTTTTAGTTCAATAGAATCGTATTTGCCTTGTTTACCATTTTCTCTTCTATATCATTTTTATTTGATGCTTAGCTGATGAGTAGCTCACAGATTTCATTGGGTGACCTCCGCCCGGATGAAAACTTCGCGCGAAGAACAAAAGGCCAACACGTGGCGTAATGGCCTCCTATCCTCACCTTCTCTCTCGGTTGATGTGACCGAGGAGGCGGCCGTAAATGAGCTGAGCGGTCGAACCACGGACGTCCGTGATTCGACATCAGCTGGCGTCTTCCGAGGCCGAATCGGAGGGACAGCGGACGCCGTCCACTCTCCCTCCGAGAATGAGGCGGCGGCGAAGAGGCCCCTCGATCCAACCATTGATCATATGATCAATGGTCAGAATCGATCAGCTATAAAGGCCTCAACAGCCGCGAGGCTCCGCCGGACGATCCATAACGAACTTGCCAATGCTCGCTGGGATCGCTCCGACGCCATCAACGCCGGACACCACGGATGATGGCTCGCCATCATGGGCGAAGCCCCGCCAATGGGACTGCGGTAGCGGCTGGCGAGCCTCGGCAAGGTGGCTAGAGCTGAGCCGCCCGGTAGCGCCATCTGAGGCCGCTTTAGCCCAGGTCATGCCGCCCAGCCCATCGAGGCTGCGCCGGCTCAAGACGACCGGCCCAGGCCGAGAGCAGCCAGCCAGCTCGGCGGTCCACTCTGCCGTAGGGGGCAAGAGCTGCGACAAAAAGAAGATAGGGCGCCGACTTTTACGTCCACCCTTGATCACGTCCTCTAGGCCTACTGACGTGACTTAGTCGTTGTATATTAAATCACGCAAATCTAAAATTTATTAAACTAGAAAATACGAATTTTCGGATATTTAAAAGTATTTATAAATAAATATATCAATTATAATTCAATAAAAGTTCCAAAAATAGTGGTAATTTCCCAGGTCGATCACAGGGATGTAATATAATATTTTGTAATTATTCAGAGTTTTTCTCAATGAATACGATTTTCTATGAATTTTATACTAGGAAATGAAAAGGAAATATATTTAAAATTCACGAAAATAAAGAGGAAATAAGGTGCGGACGACAAGATGGCGTCAGCTTAACGCTAATCGGGTGGAAACAGAGTTCCGCTGGCGATTCTTATGTAGCGATTACGGATGATTTAATTAATCAAATTAAGATCGTAAAAGCGGAAGAATCGTAATTGAGCGAAGTATAGTTTGGTAAATTAAAATCACAAAATTATCACTAAATGAAGTGTAAATTAAATTGAAAGCAGGAAAACAGAGTTCGGCGCGATCGTCGGTGATGCACTAGAATCTGGCGTTGGGAGGATCGCGCGTGCGGTCCACGACCTCGAAGGCTCTCTTTGGACAAAGGCGGCGTGGGCAATCTCTAGATCTTCTCGCGAAGTCTAGAGATCAATGAAGTGGGTCGTCGAATCGTCTCCAGCGGCTGTCACCCGGCGAAAACGGTGACTTTGCGGCTCTTTGGCGGCTGTCACCCGGCAGAGAGGAGCTGGATGGAGGTGAGGCGTGTTAGGGAGTTTCATCCTCAGGTCCGCGCAGCAAGAGGAGGCTCTTCATCGCATCTGTACGCTCGGGAGGTGGCGACTGGTCTCCGGCGGATCGTCCTCTTCCCGACGACGGCTTGTTCGTCAATCAATCGGAGATGATTTACTCGATGGATTGCGATCCTTTTATCGCGAATCATTCAGAAATTTTAGTAGCAATACTCGCGAATCGCGTTGGCGAGATTTTCGCCGATGATCCAGCGATTCGGTTGCTTAATCCTTCACCGCGATCTGCAGGAAAGTCGCGATAATCGATTAAAATATATGAATTTTGACTCTAGGAGGATTGAACCCACGGCGGTCGCCGCCTGAACAAGGTGTGGCGCGGGTTTAGTCCCACATCGGTTGTGCGGATTATTGGACGAATATATAGTAAAGTTAGCTTTCTAGGCAAAGTCCTCTCGTGTATGCGACCACTCCTTGCCCCACAACTAGCTGACCACCGTGGCGTGGAAGGGGAGTGGCGCACGTGCCCCTATTGATCCAAGCGCTCGAGCCCCTGCTCGCGGCTACTCTCAACTGCGCTTCCAACCCGCTTGGCTGGCTGGCGGCGGGTCCCTCCATTTTGCAATATTTTTATTTTTATTTCTTGTTCTTCATTTATCTCAAAACTAAGACTGTAAAAATCGTGTAAAATCACATAATTACCTAAAATTCACGTTAATCAACTGAAAACCACTTTTCATGCTTTAACACAAATATAAGTCTATTTATCATGAGTTAAGGCTAAAACTATATTATTTACTAATTATTAACTCATGATAATGAAGACTTATCACACCCCAACTTAAATCATTGCTAGTCCCTTAGCAATGGAATTACGAAAATAAAATTTACAAATCTCAAACATCATATTTCAATACAAAAAGAAATATAATTAGAAATGATGCACCTTTCAACACTTTGGATTCTTATATCAAGTATTTAAGAATGATGTCAAGCACTTAAATGTTTAAACACTCCTTGGAATAACAATCTAGACTTCACTTCTTCTATTCACATCTTTATCACATCTTCACTCATAGATGTATTTACAAGATGTTCCAATTATCAATACTCATCCAAGAATAATATTGATCTTACATTTCTCTTTTCTATGACTTGATTTTTGAAGTTTGCACTATATTTCTTCCTTCTTTTTTTTTATATATATAGTGGATAAGTAGCTTTTCCTGTAGACAAATTTTGACAATAAGAATGATGTCTCACACCCTCCATGTGTACTCTTCATTTTCAGGGCTTTCACTTTATCCACTTATTTTTCAGCAAGTGTTTTTCTATGCACGATTTTCGACAATTAGAATGATGTCTCACACCCTCCATGTGTACTCTTCGTTTCTATATTTTTCACATTGCTCTCTCTTTTCTTTTCTTTTTTTTGAAATAAGTGATTTCTCCTCACAAGTCCTATAGATCAAGGTGCAAAATCTCCATTAAACTCAAATGATCAATCAAATTTTCACATCAAGTAAATATTATCCATCAAGATCATGAAGTGAAAATCTGTAAAATCAAATCCATGTTATCTATCATGTATCCAAGGAGTATTCCAACATTTCATGCTACTAGATCATTCTTTTGACTCAATAATAATCTTCCTAGTATCTTTTGGTATCAATCAATCTAATTGATTTAATTTTTCATGCATGCAATATGATGTAAGGAATTTGTAAATTAGATAGTTCTGATAGTTCTGTTTTCTGTTTTCAGTTCTATTTTAGCAGTAATAAATTTGTCAAAAATAAATCAAAACTATCTTCTTTATAGCTGTAATTTCGAATTTCAGTAATATATGTCTAGGGATTGAAATGTGAGAAAAGGGTCTCTATAATTTCAAATTTCGGGTTGTTTTTTCATCTGCTGTTTTTGATAGTCTGTTGTTCTGACGAAAACCAGAAAATAGATGTTGTAGTTTTCCGAATTTGGTGATTTTTATTTTTTATTTTTAGTTGCTGTTCTAAGTTGAATAAAATGCAAACACATGTTCTTAATCGTCCTACAGCATAAATTAATAATGAATACTTCCCCGACTTAAAAATGACATTGTCCTCAATGACACAAAAATCGAAACAAAATATGCAAAAATATAATTTTCAAGTAAAGCATGCATATATGCAAAGTTAAGCATTAAAAATATTGTCATAAATGATAAAGCTCTGAAAGACATCACCTCAACCTCGTTTTAATTTTCCACTTCATCTTACACTCCTCCTCCTGCACTTTTTCGAAAGAAAAACAAACACGAAACAAGTATTGCGAAATTCTAAGAAAAACAGAGCTTAAAAGAAATCAAACAAAATGAAATAAAAACCATGGGTTGTCTCCCATGCAGCTGAATTTAATGTCTCCAATTGGACAGCTCTTATATCATATAAGCTGATCTATGGCCATCAAAATATATTTGTATCCCAAGGTAAGTTTTATGATATTCTTTTTCAGATTTAGCATAAATTCATATACTTCATATATATACCTTGACATACTTTCAGCCAAAACAAAATGGAAATTAACAAAATTTTCCCAAAAATAATATTTCCATTTTGAAAAGAATCTTTCCTTATTTCTATCTTGTTTTGTTAGGCTCTCATTCATTAATAAATACTTTCTATTAATAA